CGACCCCATGGCACGTCCCCTGGCACGTCGCCTGGCGCGTCCCTTGGGACGTTTCGCGGCGCGTCCTCCTGGCAGGTCCCCCCGTCAATTGGCGCTGGGGCAGCTACTATGTGTTCAGGCAGCTCGAGCTTAAAATCCAGATCAGTTCGGTCAGGACTCGGATGCAAAGGAGGACTCGATCCACGACGCTATAGAGCACACTCGCGACATGGCACATCGCAATTCATCACGGCGCAGCACAGCCAGAGCCTCGCCAGGGTACATCAAATCGATACCTTCAGTATTGCCTTTGCCCGTCACCCCAATCAAAAAATCAATGACAAGTGTCTTTGAAACGCTGCCATGTTTTTACAGTTTCTAACATTCCTTTCCGGGTTCGTGGGTCGATCATGTTCAATGTTCAATCCGCAACCCCATATGGAGGATTTCAGTTTTCGAGTTTCTAATTGTCAGAATTTTAATCAAAAAGTCATATTATGTTTAACATGTTGCTTAGAACATACAAAAATGTTCAATCCCGCACCGAAGCACTTAATCAATGAACCAAAATACATATCGGGGGCGTCCACAAGAAGGGGGCGTCCAAGAGGGGGTGGCGCAAATCATGGCCGGCGGCACGGGCGCGGCCCAGGGGGGGTGGGGACGTATTGAAATAAGAAGAGGCGCCACGAGATCTGGGGAGACATCATGGCCCGCGCCATGATATCCCCCCCCCCCCAGTCATCGACATTCTCTTGGCGACCCCCGACCATTATACCATGTTGAGTCCTACAATGCGACTGAAACAACTTGATTTTGCTTTTAAATGTCGAAATTAAATTTGCCATTCCCACTTGGTTTTCATATGGCGCACGCGTACGCGCGCCCGCGCGCCCGCCCGCGCAGTAAAGAAAATGCAGTGTGTCATAAAATATCGTACCATGTTAAAATCTAGAATGCGAATGAAACCATTGGTTTTCACCATTCAGTTTTTCCTGGAAAAAGCGCGTGCCCAGGGTTCTCTTTTCGCTGTTTACCCGCAGACTCGACGGGCGTAGGGCCGGCGGAATTATTCTGCGATAAATAACGAGGTCGCGCAGGGCCGGCGGAATATAATTTTAAATGTCCCTAGCGAAACGCTTGTCTTGCATAATGTGTTGAGGATGTCTCGAGCGAAGCGTTTGTTTTGTGTTATAAATCGTTCCTCTCCTGGGGACCAGAATTCAGAGGATGTCTCACGTGAAATGCTTGTTTTCACGTACCCAGGTCTTGAGGATATCTTGAGCGAGACGCTTCGAGGATATCTTGAGCGAAACACTCGTTTTGCAGAACTCGAGCGGCCTGGGCGCCCCAGGATGCCCAGGTGGTTCTGCGAGCCCGAATACAAATTAATTTACTAAGGAACGTGGCCCAGGGAGCGCGGACGCAGCGTAGTTCACGAGGGAGCGCAGACCTGGGAGCGCGGACGCAGAATAGTTTACAAGGGACCATGGCCCGGGGAGAGCGGACTCCGCGTAATTTACAAGGGATCGTAGCCCTGGGAGCACGGACGCAGCATGATTTACAGTGGATCGTGGCCCTGGGAGCGCGCACGCAGCGTAATTTGCGATAGATCGTGGTCCTGGGAGCGCGGACGCAGCGTAATTTGCCAAGGATCGCGGCCACCGCGTACATCACCAGGGAACGTAGCCCTGGAGGCGCGGACACAGCATAATTCACGAGAGAGCGCGGCCCTAGGAGCGCGGACGCAGCGTAGTTTACGGGGGATCGTGGCCCAGGGACCGGACGCAGCGTAATTTAGAAGGGATCGTGGCCCTGGAAGCGCGGACGTAGCGTAATGTACAATAGATCGTGGGCCTGGGAGCGCGGACGCACCGCAGCCTGCGAGGGGTCGTGGCCCAGGGAGAGCGGACGCACGGTAATCCACAGGGGATCGTGTCCCTGGGAGCGCGGACGCGGCGTAATTTGCAATGAATCGTGGCCCTGGGAGCGCAGACGCGACGTAATTTACACTGGATCCTGGCCCTGGGTCAGGGACGTCCCTTGGCACGTTCCCTGACGCGTTCCCTGGCACGTTCCCTGGTGCATCGCCTGGCACGTTCCCTGGCACGTCCCGTGGCGCGTCCCGTGGCGAGTCCCCCTGTCGCGCCCGTCCCCTGGCACGTCCCGTGGCACGTCCATTGGCACATTCCGTAGCGCATCCCCCTGGCACGTCCTGCGGTGCGTCGCCATGGCACGTCCCTTGGCACGTCCCCTGTCGCGTCCCTTGGGACGTTCCGCGGCGCGTCCCCCTGGCATGTCCCCCTGTCAATTAGCTGTGGGGCAGCTACTATGTGCTCAGGCAGCTCGAGCTTAAGATCAAGATCAGTTCGGTCAGGACTCGGATGCAAAGGAGGACTCGATCTACAACGCTATAGAGGACAATCGCGGCATGGCACATCGCAATTCAGCACGGCGCAGCACAGAGCAGCACAGCCCTTGGCACACTACATCAAAATCGATACACTCAACATTGCATTTGCCCGTCGCCCAATGAGGTGTCTTTGAAAACGTTGTCATGCCTCACATTTCTATATTCCTTTCCCGGTTGGTGGGTCGATCATGTTGCAACTAAATTGGCCATAGCGTTGGGTCAGTTTGCCGTCGTCGTCGTCCGTGTCGCCCCGATCCACTCCTCCTGGCGAACATGCACCAGGGAATATGTGTTGATTTGCGAAGTGACCCGCCGAGGGGGCAGCCGCCAGTTTCGGGAAAGCCGCCCGCCATTCACCCACCTGTGATTTTTCTGGACCCACCCCTGGGGGCCGGTGCCAGCTTTCGGGAAACATGCTCCCCTCTCAACCATCCGAGTTTTTTGTCGAACCCACCCCCAGCCAAAGTGGCGTGGGGAAGGGTCGATTGGGGTAGTATTACAAATTGTCGTTCCTGGGCAGCCGAGCAGGGGGTCCTGACATGCGCCCCGATGGGGGTTGCCTTTATAGTTCAGACCCGTCTTTAGAATCAAGACTTGCCAAGAGTGCGGGCGGCACAATATCTCGACCCCCTCTTCAGGAAAACATGTTCTTTTACAGGAAACCTGCTCCCCCTAAGTACTTCTGTTACAGAACTGATCGTAGAAGCTACCTCAACCACCACCCACCCTCCCCGCCACCACCGTTAGGGGGGGCGCAGCAGCAATTCTTTGCACACAGTCAAAGCATGGCACAGGGAAGCCCAGCGCAGCATCAGCAAATAGAAGGCCCAAACGAACAGACAGCGTTCAGAGCGCACCCGTCCAAGGAAACGGGTGGAAGACCAGGGGCGCTCTCCCCTGTGGAAAAGGAGGACACGGACTTAATCTTCGTCGGCGGTGGAGCTCAGGGATCCCCTCCCAGCCTCGGCCCCGGCTCCGTCCCCGGCCCTGGCCCTGGCCCCAGTCCTGGGCCGGGTCCAGGGCTGGGGCCAGGGCTGGGACCTGGGCAGCCCTGGCCCAGGCCCCAGGCAGCCCCGGCCTCGGCCCTAGCCCGGGCCCGGGCCCCGCAGCTCCGGCCCCGGCCCCGTCCACAGCCCGACCCCGAGGAAACAGACGGCTATCCTCCTTTTGCTCCTCCTCCTCCTCCTCCTCCTCCTCCTGTTTCTTTTCCATGTTCCTCCTCCCTGTCCTCCTCCTCCTCCTCCTCCTCCTCCTCCTCCTCCTCCTCCTCCTCCTCCTCCTCTTCCTTTTCCATGTCCTCCTCCTACTCCTCCTCCTCCTCCTTCCTCCTCCTCCTCCTCCTCCTCCTCCTCCTCCTCCTCCTCCTCCTCCTCCTCCTCCTCCTCCTCCTCCCCCCCCCTCCCCCCCTCCCCCTCCTCCTCCTCCTCTTCCTCCTCCGCCGCCTCCTCTTCCTCCTCCTCCTCCTCCGCCGCCTCCTCCTCCTCCTCCTCCTCTCCTCCTCCTCCTCCTCCTCCTCCTCCTCCTCCTCCTCCTCCTCCTCCTCCTCCTCCTCCTCCTCCCTCCGCCGCCCGCCCCATGTCCAGAACCTGTGGCAGAGTCATCAGCTCGTCGTTGTCGTTGTCGTCGTGGTGGTGGTGGTCGTCGTCGTCGTCCTTCTGGGTTGGCGGCACTGGCCGTAAGGCCATCACAATCGGATCTTGAGCTCAGGCTGATGGAACGTCCAAGCTGAAAATCCAAATCAGCTCGGTCAGGATTCGGACCCGGCGACTTGATCCACAACACTATGGCGCACAAAGCAATTCATCGCGGCATGGCACATCTTATCTTCAAACGGCACGACACAGCACAATCTCTGGCACGGTACATCACGATCGCAGCAACGAGGGCCTCCGCGGAGGCCGAAAGAGGCAAAAACGAGACAAGGGTAGCAGCATCGGTGCCCTGTTCTCCCTTGAAGTGGACGCCAGAAATGGGCACGAAAAACATGGGCACGACGCCCAACAAGAAATGCTGCCCAAAACCGGCACCGGTCAGTGCTCTGGCGACCACTGGCCTCAAGTGGACATCGTCTGCGGCGACGCCGACAACGAACCCTGGTCAAGGTGGGACCGCGGGAGCTGCTGTTGGTCTTCGTCCCCCCCGCTTCCGCACCCGCCTCGGTCTCCGCGATCCTTCTGTTCGCCGGCGCACCGCCCACGTCAGCATAAGGGCCGCCAGGCACCCGGCCCCACCTCACCGCTCGCGCTCTCGAGGACGCCGATGCTCATATTGGTCCGCGCCGTCTTCGCGCAGAAATAGAGGCGCAGCCCGCCGCCGCCCACGGGCACAAGGTAGGGGGTCCCGACGACCTGCTCCGTCCAGGCACCCGCCGAGCCGGGCTCGACAATCGTCGACGAAGAGAAAATTGCACGAGCATAGACGTATCTGGAGATCTGCGCAGATTTCTTGGATCTGCGCTCGGCCTCGCTAGCAGCGCCTCCGGAGCCGCCCCTGGCGCGATCCGCGCGCCAAAGAAGGGGATCCACCGCCAATCCACGAGATCCGCGCGGACCTCCAAACCCCTGCCGACCCTGTCAGCGTGTGTAAAGCGCTTTACCATTTGAGTCGTCGTCGTCGTCGTCGTCGTCGTCGTCGTCGTCGGCACTGGCCGCAAGGTCTTCGCAGTCTATGTATATGCAAATGTCCCTTTTTCCAAATCGGCCCACCAGGGTCGGGCCCCCCGAGGCCGGCAAGCTTCTTCCACGACGCGCCGCCGTCGTCGCTCACCGCCGCACCGAGCCGGTGGACGCCGGTGAACGCGCCTCCGCCGACGCCCTCGTAGGCCATGAGCCACCTGCCGCGCCACTCGCACATCGCGCGCGTGCCGATGCCCGAGCTGTCGAAGGCTCCCTCGGCACCTGGACCGAGCGCTCGGCCCTGGCGCAACCAGCTCGCTCCGAGGTCACTCGACGTGGCGCTGAACACGGACCAGTGTGTGCCGTTGAAGGCGTGGTACGTCATGTACAGCTGGCCCGTCTCACCCGCTGGCATGAGCACCCGCGGCCATGACGCGAAGAGGCCCTCCGACGGGTCGACATCAAGCACTGGCGCCAGGTCGCGCCGCCAGCTCAGCCCACCGTCGTCGCTGAACGCGCGGCCGATGCGCATGCGGAGACCCGCCCGCGACGATGGCCCCATCGCGATGGGCTCACTCGAACCTCCCAGGTCCGCCACCGTGCCTCCAGGCACGAAATAGAGCGTCCAGGTCCCTCTGAGTTCTCTGTGTTCCTCGAGAGACCCACCATACAGAACTCGGGGCGCTCTCGGGCACTCCCGCGCGCTCCCCGTGACTTTTTTCCGGAACAGGTCTGGCCCAGGGTTTTCTTGTAGCTCTTTCCCATATCCTGCCAGGTTGGAAAAGGAGCAGCATATTCCCGTTCGGAAATTCTCCTGCTCAAAATATACGTTTCGCGGGCGCGCCCGGTCGAAAAAGATGCGCACCCATCCGGGACACCCGATAAAGAACGGAATCCGCAAATCCTCGCTCTCCGTGTAAAGAATACACCAACACACAAAAAACAAAAAACAAATATAAATAACGACGTCCAGAAACCATATACTTCGTTTGAACATTACGAGCACATGTTGATTTGCTGCGCGACGCTCGAGGACAGGGCGTCCTGCGCGAAGAAATATTGAGGATGTCTCGGACGACACATGTTTCTGCAAAGCGTGAGCGGCTTCGCCGCCCCAAGATGCCCGGGTGGTTCTCGGAATTCGGAAGCGCGTGAAAACGCGCAGGTTCGTGGCGCCCCAGCGAGACAGGCGCGAAAGCGCGTGGGGTCCGAACGCCTCCGAACGAGACAGGAGTAAAAACAAGTGGACCCCCAACGCGTCATAGCGGGACAAGCGTAACAAAAACACCTGGTTCCTAACGCCCCAGAGCGACGCCCCGAAGCGGGACAAACCTGAAAACACATTGTTTTTGATGTGGACTGGGGGTGCCTTTCCCCCGTGGCCGAACACTCCTGGTTTCCTCCCTTGGGCCCTGGATCCCCTTTGACGGCGGCCAGGTTCTCGACAGCTCTCGAGGCCGCGCCTGGCCGCGACTCGCGAAGACGCCCCGAGCAAAAACTAAGAACATATAGCCAAACCGCTCGCAGGCGCTCTTCCTCGCGACAGAAGCAGCGGCTGCGACGACGACCGCGGCGGCAGCCGGGGTATTCTTGTCCAGATAAGAACGGAAAATACAGCGGAACAGCCGCCCGTGTAGGTATAAACAGCTGAGGAAAGAGGGGGCGGGGAAGGGCGGATTTGGGAAGGACAAAAACGGAGCCGCGACCCGCCAAAACCAACACGGGGGAGCTACTGCCCACATTAAACACGCGCCAAGAACGAGTGGTAAACGAACGCGCGCACAAACCGCCAAAAACAACTTACAATGGGGTTCTTGAATCATATTTACCCAGGGGCCCCGCCCAAAAACGAAAGGAGGAATGACGGAACACCCAGGACCCGAAAACGAAAACGGGCGCAACGTTTGGGGGGAACGGGGGGCATCGGAAAACGCCCCCCTCATAAAGACAAGGGCGGCCACGCCCGAAATGGGCCCAGAGAAGCTCGCGCCCCAGAATGTTGAAATGTTTGTTTTCCACTTCGGCGCGCGCACTCGGCCGACGCCCAAGTCCACGCTGGCGGGCCAGACGTGCATGCAAAGAGGGGTAAGGAAGCAATGAATCAAAACAGTGCAAGCAAGGGGAGCAGCGGAGGGCCCCCTTCACGAGGGGTCAGTTTTCCCCGGGGGGCGCGAGCTCCCGTCAAAATCGCGCCACCGCGATTTGAGCGAATCGCCAACTCCTGCACGAGCCTGGGCCACCATCGCTCCCCGCCGAACAACGGGCCCAACCCACCACAGCAGCGAAGGAAAACCAAGAGAAGGGGCACGCCCCGCAAAAAATGAGGACGCAACACAAGAGAGGACACAACGACGCAGGCGCTTCGAACCGCGTCGGGAATCTGGCGCGGGGAGCTGGCCGAGAGCGGGCGACAGCAGCAAGGGCGCCGCAGGTGCGTCGAACTTAGTCGGGGACCTGGCGCGGGCGGGCGGGCGCAGAACCCCCGGGGGCAGAGCGCTCTAGGCACCGCGCGGCGCCTGCAAACGCGCGCGCGCCGATTGCTGCCTGCCCATGGCAGCCAGCCGGCCAAAAACCAAAAGAACCGCGGTCTACTCCGCGCGCCGAGAGGCCGACCGCCGACGCGCCGACGGGGCGGTCAAGGCACCGAACTTCAAGTTCCACCCGGAAGGGGGCGGCGGCGGGGCGGCGGGGCGGCGGCCCGGGGCGGGCGCGGCAAGCGGCGAAGGGGGCAGCGCACGGGCCCCTCCTCCCCGGTCGGCGCCAGGATACGCGGGGGGGCGGAATTAACCGAGCAAGAACACGAAAAGGAAGAACAGCAGGCAGCTGCAAGCAGTTAGGGGAGATACAAGAGACAACATCAAGCAAAGGAGAGAGGGCATCAAGAGGAGCGGGCCTAGAGAACCGCGGGGCAGCGCGCCGAGGGCGACGAGGGGCGCGAGACCGACGGCGGCGACGAGGCGAGCCGACGGCGAGGCGCAAGGGGAGAGCAAGCAGAAACAAACAGCGGCAAGGAAAGGCAGGCGGACAAGGGCCAGCGCCTGCTAGACACCCACCCGAATCAGAGAGAACATGGCAGACCCTGGAACACCCCAAACCCATGCTCATACATAGCGACCGCCAAAGATCGGCGTCGACAGAAACATCGGAAGACAACGGACCGAACAAACAAAAACGCATGTGGTTAACATGTTTTTGTCCGCGCAGGGGCGAGGGTCTCGGGGGGGGGGAACTAGGGGGGCCGCAGGAAAACGGGGAACAGAGACAGGGGAGGGCCGCTCTCGCCGCTCACCAATGGGGGGCAATGGGAGGGCAGACAGGCGGAGGAAGACCGGGAGGGGGGGGGCCCTCCGAACAACGGCAGCTGAGCGGAGCGACCGAAGCGCCCCGGGCACTCCGGGGCGACGGCGAGAAAATTGTCTCCACCGCGCCGCGACAGGAAGTCCCCGGGGGCGCGGGGCCCCGTCGGGCGGGCACTGTGGGGGGCCAGAAAACGATCAATAAGAGCGCGCCCCGCCCGGTCGCGCGACCTCCCTCCGCGTGGCCCCGCGCCGCAAAGTCCTAACAGCCACTCGTTGCCGCGCAGCTGCTCAGCCTACGATGCCGGAGGACCATCGCGGGGGGGGTGCCGGCGAGGCAGCGTTTCGGGCGCGCGCGATCATGCCGAAGGTCGTCATCAGTAGATCCCCCACCGCGTCCAAAAACAACCTAGCATAATGGTGCGAAGACGGCCCGCGGCGCGCGCTCCCCGACGCAGTGCCTCGAGGGCGCCTATCACAAGGTTCGTCGCGCCGCCCTTCTCCACTCGCCGCGCGCCGCTGGCCGACGCCGAGAAATCTGCCAGTGCCACCCAGACCCGGACGCAACATTAGGGCCCGAAGCTTGGTGGCCAAACCAAAAACATTTCTAGACGTGGAAAAAAAACGTCCAAGGGCGCTCCAAGCGCGCAGCCCAATCAACGCTTCTCTAGATAAGGCATGCTGACGGCTGGCCGCGATCACCTGCAACGGCTCGTTATAAGCTTTCCGCAACTGCTTCGTCACTGGGCGCAACTGCAGCTCGCGTGCTAGGATCGACACGCAGCGGGAATGGAAGAGTCGGATCGCCCGCGGGGGCCCGGGCTCTAGCCCACGGAGCCTCCGAGAAGTCATCCGCGACTCCGAGCTTGCGTTGCTCCAGACTTTCGACGGCGCGCCAGGCCGAAGCCAGAACCCGCGGCGCAGGACCGCATGGACATAACCAATGACCAAGTCAAAACTGTTTTCTTCGCAGCAAAAGATCAGCGACCTGCTCAGGCATCAGCGCCCCCGCGACAAGACCGCCCGCCGTTTGCAGAGGGCAGCGCTTGCGAGGTAGGCTGAGGGCCAGAGAGGGCATTGGAGAGGCAGAAGCAAATGTCGACGGCGCAGGGGCGCATCCGCGCCCCGCAAACTTCGCTCTCATCCATCTCAGAACAGGATCCAGAAAATGCGCGAGACAGTCGCATCGAAGCGGGACCCCCCTGTCGAAACCTTCTCGCAACCACGCACTCCACTGGCGATGCGCCAGGGTAATTAATTACTGCAGCGTTGTCCTCGCGCGGTTCCTCGCGGAAGCCGCGAACATAATCTGGCACGCGCGTCGCCGAGAGAACAGCCAGAAGCCGCGCTGTGATCAATGAGAAGAAAGCGGCCTGGAAAACGGCGCAGGGAACACCTGGGCGGCGCATTCCACTCGGCATCTGTCAGGGCCCCCGCTGTTCAACCTCGACGACGTTGTCCAGAACGCCCCCCCAAGAATGCCCCCTCGCCGGGTCGGGTCGATCGCGCCCCGCGGGGCCCCCGCAACTTATTTGGGAAAGCATCGCCCAAAAGCTTAGCAGTGTTCGCCAGAGCCAGGGGTCGAATCTTACCCGTGGCGCGAACCAGCTCCGCAGGGTTCTCGTCTTCCTTCGGATCTCCCAGGGGGCAGCGCGCGCGGCCCGTCCTCGCGCTCGCAGAAGCCGCCGCTCCAGGCGCGCCGTGCATCTCGAATTGCACTTCGAACAGAGCGTCAGCTGCTCCCCCTGCCGCCCAGCGCCCACTGGGAATCCCATCCCCCAGGGGGCAGAGCGACGCTTGCGGCGAGCTCTCTCAGCAGATGAACCGACGTCCAATCGCCGAGAACGAGAGTGAATTTGAATGATCGGCACGTGGATCTCAGCCCCGAGAGAACGATCGGGCCCCTGGCGCGCGAAGGCTTGCCCCCGCTGCGCAATGCAACAGCCGGCGCATCGGGGGGCGGGCAGACGTGGCCGTCGAGGCCCAGGGCCCCGGAACTCGCGCGTCGCCTGCGCGCCCCGGCCCGAGCTCTCCGCAAATGCTGGATCCGCGCCGCCCTCTTGCTCTTCGTCGCGCCCCCCCCCCCCCCGCCCGCCCAATCCCCGCCCTTCCTTCTCGCGCCAAGATTCCTCCAGCGCCTGGATCGGCCCCAGCCCCGGGCTGACAGCGCCCGAGCTACATTCCCGCTCCGGCGAAAAATGCCGAAGCAACTGGGGGCCGGCCCTCGTAACTCGACGCGCAGCGAGAAGGTTGAGCGCTGCGAGAAGGCCCCAGCGCGCCACCCCCCGCGCGCCATCAGAGCACGCT